CTCATAAGTATTTTTTAAATAAATTAGTCGAACACAAATTAGTTCTTAACGAAAATACTTTCCAAAAACCACTTTTCGGTAAAAGCAATTCTTGATTTTTTAGACTTGGCCGAACAATGTTATTAGTTTTTAATTTTCTCATCGAAAATCATGTCTCAATGGAAGTGAAGAAAGAGAAGAGAGAAGTTGCCCACTTGTCAAATCTTTCTCCTTTGCTTTTTGCTCTTTAGGCGCTGTATATCCATTTTTATTGTCACGTCAGCTTTTAATTAAGGTGATATGAGATTCTCATTGGACAAGATATAAAGTAGGAGCATGCTAGCAAATTTTAATTATGAGGGTTTTTCTTAACAACTTTTAAGGACAAGATATGTATTTCCCAATGTTTAACGTAAATTAGAGTGCTCTCAACGCTCAATGTCTTAACAAAAATGAGTAGAAAAGTTTCACGCGGAAAGTGTAACGATCCGGCCGGTTGTTTTGAGTATTTCAGCCCTGTTCTTCTATTTACTCCTCAATTTGTGCTTCATAGTTGTTGTGTGACTTGCCAGGGTAATTGGTTCGGGTCCGGTGAGGTTTTGGAATGAATTGAAACACTTAGTTCCAAGGTTTAAAGCTTAAGTTAAAATAGTGACTGGATGTCGACTTATGTGTAAATGACCCCGGAATAAAGTTCTGATGATTCCAATAGCTCTGTATGGTGAATTTGGATTTAGAAACGTGTCCGAAAAATTATTTGGAAGCCCGTAGCTAAATTAGGCTTGAAATGGCTAAAAAAAAAATTTAAGTTTGAAAGTTTGACCGGGGAGTTGACTTTTTGATATCGGAGTCGTAATCCAGTTCTGGAAAATTTCATAGCTCCGTTATATCATTTATGACTTGTGTGCAAAATTTGAGGTCAATCGGACTTGATTTGATAGGTTACGGGATCGAATGTAGAAGTTGGAAATTTTTAGTATCATTAAGCTTGAATTGGGGTATGATTCGTGGTTTTAGCGTCGTTTGACGTTATTTGAGTTTTCGACTTAGTTCGTATGATGTGTTAGGACTTGTTGGTATATTTGGTTGGGGCCTCGACTGTGTTTCAGGTGTGTTTCGGATCATTTTGGGCTACTTTGAAAGCTGATTTTCTGATGTCTAGTATTGTTCTTCGCGTTCGCAAGGAGCCTCTCGCGTTCGCGAAGAAGGATTTGGCTTTTGGGATTTTGTTATTCGCGTTCGCGAAGAAGGAAATCTCTATTGCACATGTTTGACTTTGGAGGCTCATATCTCACAATCTATAGAGAATTTGGAGATGATCCAAAAATGAAAGTTGTAACTCTTTGTGTATAGTTTTCAGAAAGGTAAATCATTTGTCATTTAGAGTTGTGTACAAAACGTTATGGTAGATATACTATAGGTTATCTGGGAAGAGTTTGAAAATCTCTGCTGCACAGGACTGACTTTGGAAGCTTCTATCTCATAATCTATAAGAAATTGGGAGATAAGTAATAAAATAAAAGTTGTAGTTCTTTGTGTCTAGTTTTCAGAAAGAAAAATCATTTATCATTTGGAGTTGTGTAGAAAAAGTTATGGCGGATATACTACAAGTTATCTGGGAAGAGTTTGGAAATCTCTGCTGCACAGGGCTAGAATTTGAAGCTTATATCTCGCAATCTATAAGAAATTGGAAGATGAGCAACAAATGAAAGTTATAGTTCTTGGTGTCTAGTTTTCAGAAAGTTAAACCATTTGTTATTTGGAGTTATGTACAAAAGAATATGACCATTATGCTAGAGACTATTTGGGTAGAGTCTGGAAATCACGGTTGAGGAATTTGTTCATCGCGAACGCGAGGGGTAGATCGCGAACGCAAAGAACAAACCCCTGGGCAGCAGAATAAAGTCCAAATTCGTCTTATTCTTCCATTTTCGAGAGTTTTTCAAGAAAAATATTGGGGCAAGAATTCCTAACTCGATTTTGGTTAAAATACATGAATCTATTGTTGTTTTTATCATGAAATTAGTGAATTGGGTTGAAAATTATAGAAATTTTTTTATACCTTAAATTGAGAATTTGGAGGTTGATTCGTTGTTGGAATTTAGTAAAATTGGTATGTTTAGACTCGTGGTTGAATGGGTTTTCGGATTTTGTAACTTTTATCGGGTTCCGAGACGTAGGCCTCGCAGACGATTTTTGAGTGCAATTTCGAATTTTGTTAGAAAATTAATATTTTCATATGGAATTAATTTCAATAATTTATATTGACTGAATCAAATTAATTGTGGCTAGATACGAGGCTTTCAGAGACCAATTCGCGAGGCAAAGGCATAGCGGAGTAAAATATTACACGATTTGAAGTAAGTAACACTTCTAAACTTGGTTATGAGGGTATGAATCCCTGAAGTACGTGTTGTATGGATTGTTTGGAGATGACGCACATTCTAGGTGACGGGCGTGTGGGCGTGCATCATAGGAATTGTGACTTAATTGATTCCGTGGAGTTGCATAATTAAATAAATATCATTATCCGCATATCCTCCACGTGTTAGAGAAATTGAGCTGAGATTCATATTAAAGATCATGTTTAGGCTACACGCCGATATATTTTGGGACCCACATGGGTTGTATTGCTGTTGAACTATTTGTTTAAAATATAATTTTGTACTCAGTCACATCTATCACTTGCATATCATATCTCAGTCTCTGTTGTCATTTATTGATACATCATATCATTATGTCAGGTTGATTTTCATGTCATTGAGTGCCCGGGAGACTGGAGATTCTGAATGATATTTATCTTTATTTATTTATGCATGAATTTGGCTATTATAGCGCTTGGGCTGAAGGAGTCCCTCCGGAGTTTGCACCCCCCACAGTGAGCGCAGTTGATAAATATATCTGGGATGGATCTTCCTTGGGCATGGATCTTGCTATATATATATATATATANATTGGGATGGATCTTCCCTGCATGGATCTTGCCCGAAGCATTTATATTGAGGGATAGATTTTTCCTGGGCATAGATCTTGCCTGAAACATTTATATTGAGGGATGGATTTTTCCTAGACATGGATCTTGTCCGAATTATTGATATTTGAGGATGGATCTTCTCCTGGGCTGGATTGGCCTTATACAGTACTGGGCGACTAACTGTCAGTTGATGTGTACATATATATGAGGGATGGATCTTCCCTGGGCTGGATTGGCCATATATAGTACTGAGTGATTGAGTATTTTTAGATTGTGAGTACACGAAGTTTTCACTAAGGTGCATCACATACGGTATGTACATTGGCATGTAGATACAAAGATGTAATATTCCTCGTACTGTTCCGAATTGATCTATTTTTACCTGTGCTGAGTTTAACTGTTGAACTTGAAAGCATACCTATATTTCTGTACCGTTATTGCTATACTGCATTGTACCTGCTAAGCTCGTTACTACTTTCAGCCTAGAGGTTAGTCTTGCTACTTATTGAGTTGGTTGTACTCATACTACACTCTTCACCTCGTGTGTAGATATAGGTGCTCCCGGATTCGGCGATTGCTAGACTTGGTGATTTATCTGTTGGAGACTATGAAGGTAGTTGTTTGGCGTCCGCAGACCTTGTCTCTATTCCCTTCATTTATTGTGTTGTTCTATATTTTTCAGACAGTATTCTTATCAATCCGACTTTATTATTATTTAGATGCTCATGTACTCAGTGACACCGGGTTTTGGGAATGTTTTTTACCTCAGTACGTGAGATTTTACTATTAAATTTATATATTAAGTTTTCAAACTTAAAAGAAATTGTGGCTTATTGAGGTTGTCGGTTGTCTAGTATTGAGATAGGTGCCATCACGACATGCGAATTTTGGATCTTGACACAAAGACAGTGATCCAACATGCAAAGCGACAAGGAAACAATCTCATTCACAAAGTTTCAACCAAAAAAAGTTGTATTGAAATTCTTAATTGAAATTAGCAGCAGTCCTTTCACTTTCTTTTCTCAACCTTGGATCCTACTGCACTAGCCGTGCCGTGATTTGCAAGGCATTTTGTCCTATGTTTCTCGATATCACATCATATTTTCACCAGGACACACAGACTTTTCTTTTCTTTAATTCATTTACTCTTTTCTTAGGGATAGCACAGCAGGCAGGAGGCGGATGCAGCATATCAATATTTGGTTTATTTCAACTCAATACTTTCGATGCGAAGTATAAATTTATGCGCAAAAATTTATTTCAACTCAGTACTTTGGACCCAATTCTGCACCCTCATAGCTTGAACCCAATGCAAAGATCGCATCCATTTAACCATACTTCTTGGTCTCTAGCATGTATCCTTTTATTGAACATTTTAGAGTGCTCTTAAAAAGCTGCATCTTTTGTATCAGTACTTGAGATTGCAAATTGATTCACCACGTCAAAAAGCCTTTCGTATGTTCAAGATCACTCGTAGTTAGCAAGATAATGCAATAAGACGCCAGTTAAATTATCGAACATCAGAATCAACTTCTGGTACACATATTTTTTCATACGAGGGAGTTGATCTTGAGCTACTCCACCCATTCCTTTATTTGGCCTTTGTGTTTTAAGGATAATTTCAGGCGCGGATCTAGGCCTAAAATATGGGGCACATGAACCCATGATCTCTTTGTCAAACTAGGTATTTTATGTACATATTCTCTATAATTGGTGTAATATTATCTGTTAGCACTCATGCTCCAAAAAGTCTGAGTGGTGCACGTGATTCAGTTCCTACTTAATACTTCTTTTTTCTTCTTTCTTTAGAAGTGAACTCATGTTCTAGAAATCCTAGATTTGCATAATTTAAAGTAGTCTAATTGACAACTTAACTTTAGGCAACCTAATGGTCAATACAAGGACATTTCTAGATTATAAAACAGCAACAAACAACAACCCTATGTATCCTACAAGTGAAGTTTGCAGAGGGTACGGTGTACGCAACCTTACCCCTACCCTATACAGGCAGAGTGTTTTCAATAGACTCCCGGCTCATTTCTAAATTATAAAGTGACGAGCAAACAATCAAACAATTCTATCCACTTCAAACAAAAGAAGCTATATTGAAATTCTTAAAAGAAAGCAGCAGCATCTCACTTTTTTTCCCAAAGTCAACAGTGCATTTTGTCCTATGTTTCTTGGTATCACATCATGTTTTTACCCAGAATGACACCTTTTTCTTGTCTGTTACTAGCTGGAATTTGTTTGTTTTTTTTCATTTAGCTTACAGAGATACTCCAGTATTTACAACTACCAAGGAGATTAAAAGAGGTTGTTCTGGTGAATGTTTCTGACTCTCTAAATTATGGCTTAATTAAAGATTCTAAACTTGGGGTTGAACCACTACCCTTTTGCTACCATGTTGGCTACTGCTACTACTTGAAATACTAGCACTGCTACTGCAAGACAAGTCACTGCTTCCTTCCTTTTTGGTGGATTGATTCTTTGGCCTTCTTGGAATGCATCTTGCTCTCACTTCATCTATCTCTTTCTCCCTCAGTTCCAACTTTGCGCTCCTGCAAACCAAAACAGAAAAAAGAAAAAGATTTGAGTAATATACACTAACATTATAAAGATTTTGTTTTACATATTTATTGTAGTTTTATACTTATCATTGAGATTTACATGTAATTATGTTAAAAAGTAACCTAATTATGTACTGTTTTCTTACATTCATAAAACCATAACTCAAAGAAGATAAGAGGCATTCGTGTATGATTAGAGATAAACAACCCCAGATGAATAGAATAGTAGGAAGAATAATGCTACATAAGTTTTTTTTTTTTTTCTGCATCTGCAATTCTGAAAGATTACAGAAAGTTTTTAATTAATGTTGATGTGTACCTTTTCGGAAGACAGTGAGCAATTAATTTTAGTTCTAACTTAGGAGGGCAATGTGATTGAGACATCGTACTAATACCCCTATACTAAGTATACTAAGTTACAAGAGGAAAGATCAGTGGATAAGCCAAAGCGGAAATTGTACTTTTCAATCATGAAAACAGGACAAATTTTGACAGGTTTGAAGTTACCCCAACTCGAATCTTGAAAAAAGTTGAATCAATTTACTCACATACTGCCAATCAGTCATAAGGTTACCCTTTAAGTAATTCACGTGTAGTGATGAATAAACTTTACTTGAAGCTATTTTTTTCTTTAAGTGGAAAATAATAATTGCCCGATACAAATGGCCAGAACCAGAAACTGCAGAACCTCTTTAAGTGCTGTTCCTGAAAATTTACTCTCTTGAATTGCATTTCAGATTGCAGACTGATTGACCAGTGACCACATGAAAAAGCCTTTCATAAACACCAGATAACTCCTAGTTAGCAAGATAAAGCAATAAGGACGCCAAGTAATTTTTCTTAGGATTCTAGTGTTAATAACTATTTTGTGTGACAAAAGTTAAACCAAGTATAGATTTAATGTATTTTTGAATAACTATACATGTAATCGGAAACAACCTCCCTACCTTGAAGGTAGGGATAAGGTTGTGTACACACTAACCTCCCAAGATCTCACTTATGAGATTACACTGAATTTGTTGTTGTTGTTGAATAACTATACATATACCATGTATTATCTTCAACGTAATGCTAAAGAGGGCTTTGCATTTACGGCTAATTTTTAACAACGGTTATATTCTAGTTAGCTTGTACATACCTTAACTAAGTGAGACTTCTCATTAGTACAAGTACTTGGATATAAATCTCATTTTTACAGCTAGTTCATGTTATAATAATAATAACAATAATATACTCAGTGTATTCTCATAGAGTCTGAAAAAAATAATTTATACCGTATAAAAATAAAGAGATTATTTTCGATAGAAATTCGGATAAAGAAAAGCATCTAACTAGTTCTTGTTACATGAGTTGGATAAATTACTTAACTTTAGGCAAAGGGACAAATTTTGAATGAAACAGACATGATACATCGAATCACTCTAAGCAAAGTAAGGTATTTTGGAACTACGCAAAAGTGTTAGTCATGTACTAGTGATTTTTGACACGAAGCTAAAGAAACAAACAACAAATTCACAAAATAGAAGTTAACTCACCGATCTGCATTAAATGAAGAAGATCTCTTCAGAGCTGGATATTCGTCCTTCTTTGTCTCTATTAAGCTTCCACTAAAGTACTCCTTATCCTCTAGCTTAACTCGTTCTATGATTCCTTGATACTCCACCGTAGTATTCTCTGCATCCTTCTCCACCTGATTCAACCCTGCTCCACGTGGCAGTCTGGATTTGTAGTGTGAAATCAAGGAAAGCCCATGATCTTTCCCATAATAACCGGGCCCACAATCTTTGAAGGACATTGACCCACACGATAATAAGTGCATGAACACGGAAGATGCTCTGCTGCTGCCCTTTCCATTTGATGATTGATTATTGTTAGCCGTTTGATCATCGTTGACTGTTTCTGACCGTACGATTACTCTACCGTCGGCTTTCATCAACGTTTCGAGAGTTTCCGGGCTTGAATCCGACGGCGGTGGAGAAATTTCACCTCGGCTCAGCTCTGTTGACTGGCTTTGACCAGAATTTCTCTCCTGTTCTTCTTCTTCGACGATTCCGATTTCTCTTCGCCGGCGACGGCGGTCGTCGGTTTGAGTTGACGCATCGGCGGCGGCTTTTCCCGTAGAATCCTCGCTAGACTCTGCCTTATACACTCTGTACTCGTGGAAATCAGCCGAACACCACGATTGATTCCGCCGCCGTGAAACCGCAGGGAATTCACGATCTTCGGCGATTTTTCTCACTTCCGGCAGCGGAGTTTTCGAACTGGAGAATTCTACTTCTTCCGATTGAGATGTAATTGTAATTGCACCGTCGACAAGTTCTGAGCCTTTGAGAACATACTCTTGACCGTGTGCTGGAAATATAAAATCGTGCTCCGACAAATCGTGCCACACAAATCCATTTCTATAGCTTCTGAATTGCTCAAAATTAGCAACAAAAAAAAAATCAAATTCAGGTCCATAGATGCACGAAACTCGTGACATATTTGAAATTGATAAAAAAAAAAAAAAAAAAAAAAAAAAAAAAAAAAAAAAACTCAAATCATTATAATTCACCTTTTGGCTGACCATGAATACAGCGAAGCCATGCCTTTTCCTCGGAGAAAATTCAAGCGGTTAATCACATCTGAAAAAAATAAGAACTGTACATTCAAACGAAATGCTAAAAACACTTTCAAAACATAAATGTAGCTTATAATTGTAACAACTCAAGCTCAATGTTTTCATGTAGTTGAATTGCACCAAACAAGCCTTGAGATCTACTAATACTGTTTTTTGTTCATTTGGTATATGGAGATAAGTTGGCTAGTGAAAATTCTGTGTACCTCTAAGATAAAGACCATCAGGGGAAGAAAGAGGGACTTCCATGAAATGGGGGTGTTCAAGTTGGCCATTTCTAGTGAGATAATAAACAACAGGGACTTTACGTTCAGATTTGGGCTTATGGTTTGGAGTTTCAGTCCAAACTTTGGTACGTTCAGGGCTAGTTTCTCTATCTTTCCATTTCTTAGGCATTTGAAGTAGCTCCGTTGCTCTAACTGATCTCGACGAAACCGCCATTAATTTCTTAGAGAAAAACCCAAGTTTTAGAAGCAGAGAAGAAAATGGAACTTGGAGTATTTCCCTATATAAGAAGCTGAAAGGAATGTTTTACGAGGCTGAAAGCTAGCTTGGAGTTTTGTGAAATGTAGAGAGTTGAAAATATAGAGTGAATGCCGGGGGTTTTAAGGGGATGGGGAGTCTCTGGACGGTGAAACAAAAGGAGGGAGAAGAGATTTCAAAATAGGATGCGGCAGACAACAGCTACATGACAAATTTCATTTGTTTTACATTTTCCCCTCCCTCTTAAATTATCTCAATTATTTCCTCACATCCTAATTTTTATTATTATTATTATTATTTATTATTTATGAAGTCTTATATTTGAGACATACTAATCCGATTAATTAAGAAGAGGAAAACATCTTTTACAAGAGATATTTTATATTTTCAAAACTCCAATTTGAAACATCTCATTATAAGTTAAAGACTATACACATTCATAACAACACACTCCTTGCCAATTTCTATTTCTTGTTTTTTATATTATGTTAGCCAACAACTTGATATGTACATATTAACCTTCGAAATTGTGTAAAAGCCAAATAAAAGATAGTACATAAAAAATGATAAATGCAAGTTGACTTGAATTGTAATTTAGTTGTTGTAATCTTAGCTTGTCTAGGTGTAGGGTTCAGGCTAAGACTTTCACTCTCTTCCATATAGAGGTGAGTTATAAGTTTGAAGTATTCCCAAATATTGTACAAAAATGGAGGAATACTCTTTTTATTAGAGATTACATGAATTATATTATTATTAGAAGTATCATCCTAGAGATTTTGAATTCGCAGTTTAATTTTCAATTTAAAATTATTAATATTGAGTTTGAATTCGTCTTGTTTATTATGAGAGTTGAATTGTTCTTGATACTTGTCTGAGTAAATTCAAAATACTTCAACGAACTTGTCTGAGTAAACTCAAAATTCTTCAAAAGGAGTTGACTTACACTTCTGTCATACTTCACCAAACATTGACTAAATCCTACGATGATTATGTTATTAAAAGCATCTTTTCTTCAAAGTAAAATTAAAAATAAAGTTTATTGTTTAGCTACAGAAATTATTCGTTTCTAATATCTGTTTTTGTTTTTTAATAGTGTAGATTATAATAGTGTCCGTGACTGACACTGCCGATCTGTCCATCAAATTTCGAATCAATTTGCCCAACTAAAACAAACATCAAACCAATCAGTTTTGACGATACGATTTGGCGAATAAGATCTTTTGTTAAATTGGACAAGAATGTACGAGATTATCTGCAACTTGAAATGACCGTATCTTTAGCGTATTGCAACTTTTGCTACTTCACATGATCTACATATATATTCTTTTGTGGGGAAATCCTCCATCTTATACGAAAACATTTTATTCGGTTTTTTCCTATGATCGAGAAATTGGGTGACGAATTCAGAATTTAAATTTACGGGTTCAACTTTCAAGGATAAAGTATTGAACAAATTATATTTTTAAAATGATGTATTCATATCTATTATTTTTGTAATTTTATTAAATTTTTATATGTAGATTTTTACTCCGCGTCGAAAGTTATGAGTTCAATTGTACTCGTTACTTCAACATTACATTCGCCCCTTCTGTGATGCATAGTCGAAATTCTATAAATAATAAACTATTTCTTATATTTTTTATTTAATGTCAGGTTTTTCTTTGCGGCAGATATTTTTTTTCTTCTCTTTCTTTTTTCTTTCAGCTAGTGTGAAAACTTAAAATTATTATACTGTTATTCAATCTGTATTACTGTAATAAATAATAAAAACAGTAAACTTTCTGAAATAGAAACAGAAAGTTAGTAGCAACAGAATATCGAAATAATGTCTGAAAATAATTTCGGAATAAATCGAACCCACTGAATGCACAGTGTGTCCTTAAAGAAATTATTCCCCTCAAGTACCCGAGGTGCTAGAATATTATCCTCCCATGATAGAACGATTTTTACTCACCAGTGTATTGTTACCAAAAACTCTAATGAACTTCGAACCACTCAATGGTTGTAAAACACACTGAAAAATTTTGTGCAGAAGAAGAAAATCAGAAAATCAGAAAAATTTCGTAAGGAAAGATTCTAGGATTCAAAGCATATTTATAGACTTTCTGGCACTATTTTTGAAAAGGTTGTAACCTTTCAGAAGCAGCCATGGCTGTTGGAACAGGTGGGAATATTTCTGTTTGAAATATTGCAGGAAAACATATTTAAAATAATTCGGGAAAGAAAACAGACCGGACCGGGTCGCGTCGCAGGTCCTGGGTTATTCCGGGTTGAATTTCCATTAATTAATTAAATAATTAAAATAAATTTTATCCAAAAAGATTAATCAATCAATCGATCTTTGACCAAATCCTAATCCGAAGCCGAAGCCGAGAGAGCGACGACGACGAGGACGACGACGCGAGGCTTACTTTCTTTCCAATCCATTTAACACCAAGAGAAGTGCTTTCTCAATATAAGCACATTCATTTTTCTTTCCACTACCGATGATGAACACTTTGCTCTTTCTAAAGTAAAAGGGGGCTCACTTTCCCTCCACTTTCTTCCCTCTATTTCCCATTCACCAATCTTTAATCCCAACAATCCCCCCACATGAATGAGGAATGGCTATAAGACAAAGGAATGCACGGACGAGTGTGTGATTTACATGCAAGGATTAATTGCATCTGGATAAGTAGGTTTTCCTTTGAACTTTCCGTAGTGAACTTATATCGGATATACTCGGTCAATCGGTAGATTTGATATCTTTGAATTGTCGAGCTTTGTTGTATACCTAGACAACATAAGTCACACAATCAATCCTTAACCATTTATGGTTCTCACGGTTGTGTTCGTTGCAGCCATGAACACCACCCGATTTCATAAGTACTTAGAGAATGGGCCTTTACTTTCATTCCCCTTGAAGCGGCTTACACTTCACACTCACATAGGTGATTTCTAAACGTGTGATCATGTAGACACATTATCTGGTCATATCCTACCAGACTTAGCAAATCATTAAAAAGCTTTAAGTTTTATTGACTCATCAAAAAGCCTTAATGCTTTACCTTTATTTATGAACATTGTACTCATCACGAGAATGGGTTGAGTTATTTGACAATGTTAAACCGTCATTCATAACTTTGTTTGATCTTTTTGAACCTAACTCTTGGGATCTCCACTCTGCTAGGTAGAGTTACCACCATGATGACCTGTACTAGGCTTTAACCTCATTCTCTTCGATGATCTTTCAACTGCCTCTCTAGATAGGCCTTTTGTAAGTGGATTTGACACGTTATCTATTGACTTTACGTAGTCAATCTTGATAATACCACTAGAGAGTAGTTGTCTAATGGTATTGTGTGTCCGTTGTATATGACGAGATTTTTCGTTATACATAACGCTCCCTGCTCTTCCTATTGTCGCTTGACTATCACAATGTATACATATAGGTGCCAAAGGTTTGGGCCAAAATGGAATATCTTCCAAGAAATTGCGGAGCCATTCAGCTTCTTCACCGACCTTATCTAAAGCTATGAATTCAGATTCCATTGTAGAACGGGTGATGCATGTTTGTTTGGATGATTTCCAAGACACTGCTCCACCCCCCCTCCCCCCTCCCCCTCCAATTGTGAAAACATATCTACTCGTGGATTTAACTTCAGATGGTCTGGTGATCCAATTTGCATCACTATATCCCTCGATCACGGAGGGATATTTATTATAATGCAAAGTGTAATTTTGGGTATATTTCAGATATCCCAAAACTCGTTTCATTGCCATCCAATGTATTTGATTGGGATTACTTGTAAACCGACTTAGTTTGCTAATAGCATATACTATATCTGGTCACGTACAATTCATGATATACATCCAACTTCTCAATACTCATACATAGTCCAGATGTGAGTCACTTTCACCTTCATTCTTTTGAAGTGCATAACTCACGTCAATTGGAGTCTTGGCAATTTTGAAATCTAAATACTTGAACTTGTCAAGTACCTTTTCAATGTAGTGAGACTGTGATAATGCTAGACCTTGTGGAGTCATGTGAATTCTGATTCCTAAGATCACGTCAGCAACTCCTAAGTCTTTTATGTCAAATTTGCTAGCCAACATGCGCTTAGTAGCATTTATATCTGCCATATTTTTGCTCATTATCAACATGTCATCAACATATAAACAAACAATGACTTCATGTCCTGGAGGGTTTTTAATGTAAACACATTTGTCACACTCGCTGATTTTAAACCCACTTGCCAACGTTGTTTAGTCAAATTTGGCATGCTATTGTTTGGGTACTTGTTTAAGTCCATAAAGCGACTTAACAAGTTTGCACACTTTCTTTCCTTTACCCGGAACCATAAAACCCTCAGGTTGTTCCATGTAAATCTCTTCCTCTAATTCTCCATTTAATAAAGCTGTTTTAACATCCATTTGATGGATTTCAAGACTATATACGGCCGTCAGTGCCACTAACACCCTAATAGATGTTATCCTCGTTACTGGCGAGTAAGTGTCAAAGTAATCAAGCCTTCCTTTTGTCTATAACCTTTGACAACAAGTCTTGCCTTATATTTGTCAATAGTGCCATCAGCTTTTATTTTTCGTTTAAAGTTCCATTTCGAACCTAAAGGCTTATTTACTGGAGGAAGATCAACAAATTTCCATGTATGGTTATCCAAAATTGATTGAATCTCGCTATTGACTCCCTCTTTCCAAAATGCTGAATCAGAAGATGACATAGCTGCTTTCAACTTTTGAGGCTCATTTTCAAGCAAGAATGTCACAAAATTGGGTTCAAAGGAAGTAGATATTCTTTGACGTTTACTACGCCTTAGATCTTCATTACTTGGGGGATTTTCCTTTGGTTCTTCCCGTGATCGTTTAGGTCTTTCACTTAACGACTCGCATTCAGTTTTATACGGATAGATGCTTTCAAAGAATTCAACATTATCTGATTCAATTACCGTATTAACATGAATTTCGGGATTATCAGATTTATGAACCAAAAACTGGCATGATTTACTGTTTGTAGCATATCCAATGAAAACGCAATCCACGGTTTTTGATCCGATTTTTACCCTTTTGGGTTAAGGTACTTGTATCTTTGCTAAACACCCCCACACTTTGAAATATTTCAAGTTGGGTTTTCTTCCTTTCCATCTTTCA